CATTGTGCTTTGTACAATGTTTCTTGTATTTTGTATCTTCTTCAATAAATGTCTCTCTTTTTGTAGTACATGGCTGAATACTTTCTGGACAGACCATATATATATATATATATATATACACATATACACACACACACACACACACACACACACACACACACGCACATGCACACATACGCACATATGTGCGCGCACACAATAAATTGGGGCAAGCTTTGTCTGTCTCTAGGTATACTTGACCATCATTTCACTACCCTGTTATAAACTTAGTGACTCAACTTTTGGAACAGGTCTTCTGGAATAATGTACAAGTTTGGGAGTACGTCACCGCTGATCACGGTGGTGCCAGCTCTCCAAACAGCTATGGGCATTTTTGGTCCCACCTCCAAAACAAGCATTGTGTGCAAAAGACAGTCTATGACCTATCGGTGTACTGATTCCAGGAAAAATATTTTTAAGTAACATTTTATTTTCCAATTATAAAGGAAATATATAAATTCACATTATGAAAAGAGAAAGCTGAAGCCATTAAAGTTTACAACTTGTATCCCACTGTTCCACCTCCCTGGCTCAACGTGTTGGTTGGCCTGTAATGTCACCCCCTACACACGCCATTGGTAAAAATGACTTGTTCAAAAACTGTGTAACTGTCCAGACTTGCTCAAGTACTAAGACTTCCATGAAGCCTTTCTATTTGTAAGAGGAAGTAAATCAGAGATAATGGGACAATCAGGAAGTCATTGCAAGGACCCATGAAAGATAATGAAGCCCAACGTAGGTAGCAGGCATGTGGTGGGAAGGAAGTATTTCAGGGGCCTTGCAGAGGTTGCTATAGTTGAGAGGAAAAGAGGGAGGAAGGAGTGAGAAAGACTCACGACTGTCTCCATAGTTGACAAAGAGCAACATATATAACAAGCAGTAATATACTAGCTCTTTTGCTGTTGTTGTTGTTGTTCAGGTGTGTTAATTCACTGACAAAGTTCCTCCCAGGTTGTATGATCCTCTTTCCTTGCATTTTTTTAAGTTACTGTGCTAAGCCTTGCCAACAAGCTCCTCATTCCAGCCTTGCATTTGAACTTGACCCCAGGATTCCTACTGGCCCCTAATCAACTACATTTCCTCATGCTTTGACGCCTGCGAGTCTGTACAATTCCACTTATTTTCTTCATTTAAAAGTGCTGTGATACTTGTCTAAAAGAAGAGCATTAAGAATGTAGTGTGCTTTCAGTGGTGTGTCGTGTAAGCCCCTGTAAGGGCAAGATACACTATGGCTGAGTAATTTTCTTTCCATTATGAATGCCTACCTAAAAGGCATATAGTTTGTAAGTTTTTGTTAATGTAGAAAAGGGAACATTCGGGCACCTTTACTGTCCTGTTGATGTGCAGGGCTATTTTTAATTTTTGTTCTTCGCTCTTTTCCTGTGCTTGTGATTTTGAAGGTGCCAGACTGCCCTCGAGCCCAGTGTCCCTGATTTCTCCCAAGAATAGGAAAAATACAGGAGGCAGAAGAGCTGGTCATGTCTGGGTCCAGCATATTAATCTGACCCACTCTAGAAGAATATTCTCCAAGGGAAGAATATTCCTTTATTCTCCATAAAGGAAAATTGTTCCTTATGAACATAGTTTATCTGCTTTCATGGCTGAGAAGACAAAATCTTGTTGTGCCAGCACCAAATCACTGCAGTGTTTTTGGATTCAGTGAGCCTTAGAAAAATTAGTTTTGTTTGTTTGTTTGTTTGTTTTCCATTCCCATCCATCAAAATTCCATCCTTTAAGGTTGGGCTCAAATGCCTCTTTCTCCACAGAAACTTTCCGGAGCCTTCTCAGATGTGATTTTCCTTCCACATTTCCATTGCATTTTGTCATGTGACACTTTCTCATGTGGTTGTGGTCTCATAATGACTGTACAAGGTACTGATTTATCTGATCATTTATGTGTGTCACACAGAAGCCAAATACAGTACTGGACAAAGAGTAGATACCTGGGAATGTCTTAAAGAGAATATGAATTCAAGGTTTGTCTTTTCATCTTGACCTTTAGGGCTCTACTCTGATCTTTCCATCTAATCAGTGATTGAAATATCCCCCAGGTTATCAAACTCTCCTTCTGCCATGTACGCTCAGACCCTTGGATTCCAGATGTTACACTTTGGGCAGCTGTCATCTGGATCATAATTGCTACTACCTCTGTGTGCCTCATAGACCGTCATGACCAACAATTGGTAACATTGGTCAAAACGTTTTTCCCAACCCTGGCTGGTGTAGCTCAGTGGATTGAGCGTGGGCTGTGAACCAAAGTGTCACAGGTTCAATTCCCAGTCAGGGTACATGCCTGGGTTGCAGGCCATGACCCCCAGCAACCACACATTGATGTTTCTCTCTCTCTTTCTCCCTCCATTCCCTCTCTAAAAATAAATAAATAAAATCTTTAAAAAAAAAAAAACAAAACTTTTTCCCCCAAAGTGTGGTGCGCAGGTCACTGGTAGTCCCCAGTGGACTATCAAAGAATCCATATGGCATCTGGAAAGGGAAAGAGGAATAATTAAAAATAATTTGGTTGATCTTGACTTAACAAATTTAAAATTTGTTGAATTTGAAGAATAACCTTCTCAGGAATCCAGCTTACTCTTAATAATCATCACATTCTTAAAAATTTCACATGTACCACATCACCTCTGTTGAGTGGTGTTTACTTAATGTGCAGTAACAGTGCCATTCAGCTCAGAGGATGGCCGTGCAGTTTGTATGGTTTTTTTCTGTTCTTAAGCCTACAGTTTTCATTATTACTATTTTGTTGCATTATTTATTCATATCAAGCAAAAGAGATCAGTGATTTGAATATGACTCATAGAAAATGGAAAAATAGTAACAAATACTACTTCTATTAATATTACACATGTAAATTTTAATGAACAGGCTCCTATATGTAGAAAATGAATCTGTTTATGCTGGGATGAGTGTGATGATTGTGCCCAAGCAGTTGAAAAAGAAAAGTTTAAGTACTAAGTATGATGACGACTCTTTAAAAATTAGACTCCATGGATTGCCTGTAGTCCCCAGTATGTTTTTTGTAATGGAGTGTTGTTAAATAGTACCATGAAGCTCTCAGAATTTTCACATCATGTTCAAACATAGCTCAGTGAACTTTCTAGTGAACTAGTTAAGTGTTGTTGTTGTTGTTGTTGTTGTTTCTGAACAACCACAAAAATAGTGCCATATGAAATAATCTACTTTGGTTACTAAAAACAATGAACATCCAAAATGTTAAACATACCTTTCTAAGGTTATACATCTTACAATAAAAACAGGTACAAGTAAACTCTTGGATAAATGTTTGCAAATTAAGCCACACTGTTTTGTTCAAATGTCAAGAACATATTTACTTAACAATATATCAGTTATAGTGGAAATGACTCTTTTTCTAACACCTGATATTTTTTATTCCTTAGGGTGGTGATGATGGGCTATACTATAAAGACACTCAAATCCTGCAACAGAATATAAAGACATACTTTTCAGGGCCAAACACAACTACAGAGGACTGGAAATATATTTGCCTCTTTTCTCCCAAGTTGAAACGTTTAGCCCTCCTATTTTTATGTGTGAAATGGTTGTCAATCCAATGTGACAGAGGACTGAGAGCAGTCTTCTGTGAGAAATTTCTCCATCATTCCAGGTCTGTGTTCAATCCTGATGCCCATGGACAGGCAGAAGCAAGACTGCATAGTGACTAAGCCTAGAGACACTGAAACAAGACAGTTTGAGTTTGAAGTTAGTTAACCATTCTTGTGACTCAGTTTCCTCATATGTAAAATAGGAATAATAACAGTACCTATCATGTAGGTCATTGTGAATATGAAATGAGTTAATATATAAAAAGCACCTAGAAAATGCCTGACACATATGGAGCACTAGGTTTGCTCTGGTTTATGTGGAAAAGCCTACAGATTCTTGCTGCCATTCCCAGCAGCCTGTAGTTACATAGTAGAAATAAAGGGTAAGAAGGGAAACTGAACGTGGATCTGACCTCTGACTCAACATCCCCATGACAGAGCCATGCATAGATACAGATTGCAACCAGCACAATGCCCCTCGCTGACATAATTTTTTCTTAAATTGTTTTATTGCTATTTAAAACTTCATGTGAATTTTTAAAAGCAAAACCTGATATCCATATGTGGGCTTCATGCCCCACAAATCAATGTAAGAATACAGAAAGTTTGCAGAACCCAGGGCCTTGGGGGGCTCAAACCCTGCAGTATGCGAAACTGTTGCAGGGTATAAGGATGTTCAAACTAAGAACAGACATGGAGGCAACGCCAACTGAACTGCAATGATTTAAAGATTGCCGAGTATGAGAGAGAAGAGCTGTGCTATGCATCCCTGGAAGACAGAATTAGAACTACTGGGTAGCAGTTAGAGTGAGAAAGCATTCCAGCTCAGTGTGAGAAAGAACTTCTAGCAGTCAGAGCTGTCTGGAAATAAAAGGGACGGCCTTTTGACCTGCCTGTCATAGAGAGCTGGATGCAAAGGTTTCACAACCAGGGCTTTTGTCAAAGGAGTTCAAGTTTGAATTTGGACCCTGTTCCCTCACAGTCTAACTGGGCATGTAGACTCTCCAAAAAGGAGAAAGGCTTTCACAGACAAGGCCCTCTGTTCCTACCATGCTGAGCCGTCTTCCTTAGATGTCCACGTGAGAGCAGAGTCAGGGCCCTGGCTGCGATGTCAGGAGACTTGAGTCCTGCTCTGTCATTTTCTGTGGAATCTTGGGCTATGACGGCCCACTCCTCACCCAAGTCCTGTAAAATTCCCATCTGCTGGCCGTCCAGGGGATAATGGTGACTCTCCCGGTGGTCTTGCTCATGGTGGTGATGGCGACAGCGGTGGTTCTGCTGCTGCTGCTGACATTGCAGATCTGCTCTCTGCCCCATGTTGTCTTCCACAGCAGGACCAAGTGTTCCTTGGTGTGTTCTTAACAGTCAATCCCTTTTTTCTTTCAGGCCGCTGTGCTCGCTGTGGGGAAAATGTGGTCGGGGAAGGCACAGGATGCACTGCCATGGACCAGGTCTTCCACGTGGACTGTTTCACGTGCATCATCTGCAGCAACAAGCTCCGAGGGCAGCCCTTCTATGCTGTGGAGAAGAAAGCCTACTGCGAGCCCTGCTACATTGTAAGTTCAGATTTGGTCCTCAGGTGCTTGGCAAAGATATTTTCTTTGGCAAAGGGCCAATCATTCCACAGAGCACATAGCCATCAGCTCTTTACTTTGCTCCAGACTTCAAAATATGTGTGCGTGTCAATTGGCATAGCTTAATTTTTCCCATGTGTTCCTATGAAGTCAGGAAGGTGTGTTGGGATGGGGCTGCCAAGGTGAGTTAGCGGTCTGCTGGGAAGACCATCACCCTGTGGGTTTCAAGCATAAGTGTACAAGCGAGCATGTTACCCTCTGAAGCATCAGAGAGTTTCCCAAGTGTCAACATCACACCTCTTCATGTCCAGTCTCAGCCTGTACTTGAAATCGTCAGTACTTGTTGAGGAATGTTACAGGGCTTCTGGACTTTCAGTGTTCGGTGTGCTTTCAGACCCCTGGCCCTTTCAATCACCTCTTCTATCCAGAAATTTTCTTATTTATCATGCTCAGAAGGTTTTCAATGATGCAAATGGGGAAACCTGTATTATAAACACCTTAAATGGGATGCTGACTGAGCTAATAATTGTTTTCTTTTTAAGAACACAACAACTATACTTTAATAATGTCACTGGGTGCCTAAAAAAGCTCATAGTCGCATTATCTTAGGTTTTTGTCAAGCTATTTAAGTCTATGCATTAAGCTATTGTATGACAGAGCAATTTAACGGATGAACAGAAATGTTTTTTATGTAAATTTCTTTATCCTTCTGTGTGATATTAATGTGCCTGTTTAACATTTGTTAGTGGAGAAAGTAGTACTCTTTTGCAAACCCGCAAAAGAGCTGTGGTTTGGCCCTCAGTGCCCAGGTATTTCAACATAAAAAAAGCTTTCGTTGTAAGACATTGGGAGTTATACATAACTTTGTAGATCCCCAAGTTTCAAGTTTGTTGCAGAAGTTTCTGGCCTCATTGGCATTTTCCAATCACCTGACAGCTCTAACTCATTGCAGCCCTGGAGATGTGAGCACAGATCTGAAAGTTCTTTAAGATTAAGATCTTGCAGGATTTGATGCTTTGCATTTCTTGAGTTCAATTTTATTTCCTTTTTCTCCCCAAAGGCAACTTAAAGACATACATAGCATCATTATAGTACCACACAATGTTACAGCTGGAAAAAAAACTTTTAAGATCATGTGTCTAAACTCTTCTCTTTAAGAAGTGAGAACACAGAGACAGAGAGGAAGAAAGTGACTGCTTATCTTTTATCATTACTGTCCAAGCCAGGGCTCTATTCGCTTGTTGGTACTTGTAGTCCAGTGTTTTTTGCAAACATCACGTAGTTTTAGTTTGTCCAGAACATAAACACAGATTTGGAAGGAGCAATTGCGTATTGAGGGAAATCGAGTGAACAAAAGCTTACCTCTGTAGTAAATAAGACTATTTCAAATATCACCCTTTGAAGTCTTTGTCAGAAAGAGAAAATCACCAAGTCCCAGCCTTTGTCAACAGATTGTGCAGACTGTCATACACAGCAACGACATTCACATCAGACCACCACTGTGAAGTCGTGGTTACGCTCTTGCAGTGAGCTCTGTGGCAGTGGGGTCAGCAGAGCCTGTAGAAGCAAGTATGTATGGCTGTGTGCCCTTGTACTGACCACAGACTGCTGTGTTCTGTAGCTCCTGTGTCTATTTCCCATCCCTTTTTGGACTGCCTGTTGATTCTTGCTACTATAATGAAGCTCCTGTGGCAGCCTCCTTCAGTTTTTCTTTTATCCTTTATGAATGAGAAATCATATAAACAATATGAGGAAACAATGTAATGTGATGTGAAGAGAACGGGCCTGAATTTGGTTCTGTCACTTAATGCCTTGTCTCCCTGGGAGACTTAACTTGATCTTTCTAAGCCTCAGTTACCTCATTTCTATATGGGGTGCTTTCAGGATTTTCTCCAAAGGTTTGTGAATGAGAAATGGGGCAATCCTGCCCTGGCCAGTGTGGTCCAGTTGATTGGAGTCTCGTCCTGTGAACCGAAAGGTCGCAGGTTTGATTCCTGGTCAGGGCACATGCCTAGGTTGCATGTTTGGTCTCTGGTGGGGGCACATGTGACAGGCAGCTGCTCCATGTTTCTCTCTCACATCAATGTTTCTCTCCCTCTCTCTTTTCTTTCCTTCCCTCTCCCTAAAATCAGTGAGTATGTCCTCAGGTGAGGATGGATGGATAGATAGATAGCTAAATTTTAGAAGATAAAGAAGAGAAATGAGGATATCCTTATAAAGTATACTTTTTTAACTCGAGGAATACTGAAATGAATGCTGTCCTGAGATTAATTTTGATGAGATTTCTGGCCTATTTAGGATTTCTGAATATAAGGACCTTGCATGTGCAGTGAGCTTCACTGGACTTTAGGAGATTGTTTTAACCTGTCAAATGTAGTGCTCTCCCATTTTAAATGCTTTGCCTGCTCTCCTGAGTGTGTCATGAGACCGAAGAGGGCCTAATCTTGCTAAATTTTGTGTTTCTGTGGTGTGCGGGCTCAGGTTTCTATCTCCATTCCAGGCACAGGAGCTTGTGATTCTTCGGGCTGCAGCTGTTCGCTCTGGTTGCCCAATAACTATGCTGTGATTATGATAAGGAGCACTATCTGAGAGGTGGTCGCATCCCTTGGAAGACCTGGGTGAATTCCAATAATGGAAATCCTCACCATCCTTTCGAATGCTCTCCCTCAGAAGAACCTTTAATTGTGATTGTTCTTTAATGAGCTCTATCCATGGTGGCTCTAAAATGTAATTTAATTCTTATCAGAATTCAGTTAAGCTTTACTCAAAGACCCTTGTTCAATATTGATTTTAGAGTTGGGCCCAGCCCTCAAGCCCCCAGATGGATGTGTTAGCATTTTAATTTCTTCTGAATTTTCCTAAGTCCAATAAGCTGCCACATTAGAAATGTGGAGTTTTCTTTTGTGGGGACTGGGAGAGCTGTGTGTGTCCCTCCTGGAACCAAAGCACTTAGAACAGACATACAATGTCATCCAAATGGCCTCTTGTTCCACCGGTGGAAACCGATGTCTGAACAGCATCCTGTACAAAGCGGAGAAAACCCAGGCCCTAGGCTTCCGTCAGCAGGTTTTTAGTTTAATCACTAAATCAGTATATTGAAGATAGTGGTTTATTTACTTATTTCTCTGTACAGACCACCCGTGTTTGATGGTTTGAGGCCAAGAAGTAAACTAATCTAATATAAATTCAATTTATTCTTGCTTAAATTGACCAACTTTAAATTATAGTTAAGTTAAATATGAACATAATTTTGAGGAAAACTGTACCAATAATGTCTTCATATTTGTTTCAATGATTCATCATATTTTTATAGTCTCTTAAATCCTTAATCATTGCACACACATAGCTATAATTAAACAAATTCGGTGCTATACAGCATTACAATTCTCTTTAATAATTTTATATATACTTTTATTTTTTCCTATCAATTGACTTCATATAAATATGTATATGGTTGTCCATGGTTAATAATTATTATTTTTAGCTTTTTATGTATTTAGTTCTACATTATGTTTACACACTAAGTTTTAAAGCCACTTGCACTAGAAAAGTATTGGGCATGTTCTAGTCTTTCAGTATTGTAGATAACTTGCCTATAAGTAACTAAAATTTCCATATAATTTTATTTTGATTTACTTTATTAGCATAATTTTTTTTATTTATATTACACAGTTTAGAAAGATTTTTTAGTTTACAGAACCATCACAGTAATGAAGCAATATGTTAAACTATGACCTATCAACTATTGAAAAGTTTATATTTATTTGGAATCAATTTAATAAGTATATTATGTAATAGTTATTTTAGTTTGAATTCGTATAATTATTAGCAAAATCAATGAGATGCTTTTCTACTTGGGTGATAGACCTCTGAAAAGCTTCACTTTTATTGTCCTTGTGGATCTGTATAAATGAACAGCTTAAAGTGGAAAACACTAAGCTTCCTTGGGAAGTAAATTGATAAAAGTAGAATATATTGGCTCTAGTACTTGCTCTCCTTGTGTGACTTTGGGTAAGTCATTTAATTTCTTGTACCAGGATACACATTATTAAAGGGAGACACTAACTTCTTTCCTGTCTTCGAAGAGAAGGAATGAACAAGTATGATATTTTGTATATTATGAAATTGTTTACTAATATTAGGGTTTACTTTGATTAATGAGATTATTGGCATTGCTTTTTCCCTTGGCATAATCTGATACAATTTAGAAATACTCTTAACTTTGGGGTAATTCACAGCTGCGTTTCTATGGGAATGCCTAAATAAATAGATATCAATAGATGTCACTGCTGTGTTTTGCTTAAGAAGATTTTTATGTTGGTATGAGTACGAAGAGCAACCACAGAGCCTCCTACTTATGTGTCCTTCTGCCCTTAATGAAACAGGTTTACCCATAAGTGCTGATTTACAAAAGAATTTCTGTGTTCTTAGCATCACTCAAGAGTCTGGGTCTACAAACACTGCACATCAGTGAGTCTCAGCAACCCCGTTTACAGAATGGCAACCAAGGATCTTCCCCTCAACCAGGGCTCCTACTCAGAGGGAGGGAATCCTACTCCTAACTCTCCAGTGGTGGAAGTTGGTACAGACATTTTTATTAGAGTTAAGTTCCAAGTGATTAAAATGCCTCAGGAAGTAGGAAGCCAACTCCACAGGAGACTGAACATTTTGATGCTCCTGAATTTGACACATTAGTGGCCAACATGCATGTGGTTTTTTACTTCCTTGTGTCACTAAATGGCTATGGTTAAAATAGTCTAACTTTTCAACCACCATTAAGCAGTAGGTGTCCTACGTCTTCAGGAAAGTTGTTCTTTTCTATGCTCAATTCTTTCTAATAAAATGTTTTAAAGGAAGTTATGGCCAGGGCTTTCTGTGGGTATTGGGAAATGAACTGCGAGTTCAGACTAAATCTGAAAAACCCACATGAACTTCCCTCCTTTTCTTTTCTTAATAGCGCACCACTGCTCTCTCATCTCCAA